TTTCTCATGTCACACAAGGTAAATAGCTTCCCCTACTGAGAATCTATGAATCCTTACTGTGAATGATGACACAGTGTCCATGAGATGCCTGCATGACTCATGTGAGCTACTGGCTCTCTGTAACTCGCCATATTATTCATACCTAGAACAGTGTTCTCTTAAGAATGGATTTAGTTTACCTCGGGGTCCTTTTCTTATATCGACGCTTCAACGTCTTGCCTCCTCCTGATTTCTTCTATTTTTGCATATGTGTCAGCAGGGATGTGGGAAGGCATTTTAAGCTGAGGGTGCTGAAATTTTGAGCAATATATGTGACGTGAATGATGACATCATGCAAAATGATTTGGCTTTTTCCATTTGAACGCGTCATAATAACGTACCATAATGAAGCAAGAGATGACAACATATAAATATGACTGACACATTAATCTGCTTATGGACAGCTTCAGTCTGCTCTTTCATTCTGGAGGAATTTAATGCAAATCAGCTGAGCAGCGACCAATCAGATTGTTGCTATGTGGTGCAGTAACCAATTGTGTCATGCCACAAACTCCTCGCTCTAAAACAGTCACACATGGCTGTATACTGTGCTTAATATATTATGAACATCAGAACTTTTTATGATTGTAATTATTTTTTAGCAGTTGCAATCCTGAAATCACGGGGTGCTGCAGCCCCCTCAGCCCCTGCAAACCCCTGTATTTCACACTTGTTTCAGATGTTATAACAATCTTTTCTGTATATAAATGCAAATTTTAAGTGATGATTTCATTCATTAAAGGAAAAAAGGTTATCCAACATTAACTGGCCCGGTGTGAAAAAGTAATTGCCCCCTTAGTTACACAATCAACAAGTTGACCAAATTGAGTTGATAAGTGGGTGAATTAAACACACACAGGCATGATTACTGCCAGCCCAGTTTAATCTAAACACCACTTAAATAGACTCTTTCCAGCAATATGAAGTAGGCTGAAAGGTCTTAACAAGCAGCATACTTTGCTACATTCAGCAATTCCAGATGTAGATGAGAAAAAAGGTTATTTAAATACATCAGTCTGGAAAGGGATCCAACCCTCTTCTAAGGCTTTGGGACTCCAGCAAACCACAGTGAGTGCCATTATCTCTAAATAGGGAAATGTGGAACAGTGGTCAACCTTCCCAGAAGTAGCTGGCCTACCGAATTCCCCCAAGAGCACAGCGACGACTTATCCAGGATGTCACGAAAGAGCCCAGGCAAACATCATTCATTATTCCACTGTTAGAAAGAAAGAGACTAGACAAAAATAATATCCATAGGAGAGCTGCGAGTTGAAAACCACTACTAACCAGGAGGAACATTAAACCTCATCTTATATATGACAATAAACACGTTGAACCCACAAGCCTTTTGGAATAAGGTTCTATAAACTGATGAGTCAAGAGTGGAATTTTTGGAAGTGTTTGGTTGCACTTGTCACACAACTCACACAACCAGTTATTGGGTTTTGGGGGCAGTTACTTTTTCACATGGGTGATATAGGTGTTGCCTTATATAACATTTTGTATATGGTTCTGAATCCATATACTTTGACAAATATGCAAAAATAGAGGAAATCAGGAAAGGGCAAATAACGTTTTCACAACACCATTTTCCAAATAGCAGTGGATTTGAAAGAAAACTAATCCTGAAAAGCAAAATAAAGTGACAGTCATTGTATAAAACCAAAGCTTTTGCTGCTCATGACAGACACCTGGAACATCCAGTCACATGCACTCGCTATTGCATCAACTCTTTTAAATTCTGGACTCGGGCAGCACAAACAGGCTTCCGTTCCACTGAGGTTTCTGCACCAGAGGCAAAATCCTTCACTCTGTATTAACCGACCATGTTGAGGGGCGCACGCTTATTTTTGTGAGCTATGAAATGCATATAAATGTATTCCCTGTTTTCAAGCAGGGAGACAATTCTTCTATTTGCTCGAGAGATTGAAGCTCACTTTCATATTTAAGCTGTGCTCCCAAGTGACATTTAGCACATTATACTCTTTTAAAAACAAAGGTTGCTAAATGGTTCTTGGACGCATGGGTTCTAGAAACCACCCCTAATTGATGTACTACTCTCTCAGACAAAAAGGTACGAAAATGTCAATGGGGCAGTACCCCTCTTATCACAGGGGTGGTACCTCAAGGGTACTGAGATGCCTAGAGTAGCACCCCTGTGACAAGACCCCATCTCGTCTCCAGCCTATTTTACTTTATTGTTCGGTTTTAAAACATTAGGTTATGAAAACATACAAATATATACTTTTCCACTGGGAAAAACTTATTTAAGATACACAGTTGGACCTTAAAACCACTGCTGTACCTTTCAGGGGACATGTTTGTACGTTATTTGTACGCTGATGAATGAGAATTGTACCTCCACAGTACCTTTATTTCTAACAGTGTACTAGGCCTAATATTCATATTTCAGTAAATTATATTAAATATAGTTTAGAGTGCTATAGAAAGTCTTAAGAAGGTTAGAGTGTAATTTGACAGGTCTCAATGGAGTTTACGCTTCACTCAGGCACAAATAGGGTAAAAAATGCACTTGAAACATAAAAACATGGCAGGTTGGCATTGTGGACTGAGCACCAATTATAATGGGAGTGTATTTGTTTTGCCTGATGGACGACTAAAACACGCTACAGAAATGCATCCAGTGTGACTTGACACATGATCTTTAAAGAGCCTTCAATTGAAACCACTCTGAAGAACACTATTGTATTACAACATATAAGATTGTATTTAACCCAGTTGTTGCTGCTAAAGGTGGCACAACCAGTTATTATGTTTGGGGGAGGGGGCAGTTACTTTTTCACATGGATGACATAGGTGTTGCAAAAATATATACGTGCTGCACAACATTTTTTGACCAAAATTGGTTCTACTTTGGAATCTCTCTGAAGAACACTGAAGAACCACATTGCTTTCCCTGAAGAACCTTTCAGTGGGTCGTTCTTTAAAGAGCGAGTGTAAGTGTGAAGAACCTTTTTAAAACGTAAAGAACCTCCACTCAATATAAAAGTTCTGTTAGAACAGTGTGTCCAAGTCAAGAACCATTTAGAACCACTAATAATAAATTCTACACTCTTAAAAAAATAGGTTTCATTGAGTGATGGCGTAGAAGACCCGCGTTTGGTTCTATAAAAAAACACATTTCATGCAATGTGAAGGTGCTACGCTCATTCAAGGATTGCTCCTAGAACCTTTCTTTGCTCTCAAACATCTCATTGACAGAAGTGGTTCTCCAATGAACCATCCATTTAAAGGTCCTTTAGGGAACCAAAAGTGCCTTTTGTGGCACTGCTCTTTAACAGCGCTCCCCTTCACCCCATCATCATCCTCGCTTCTCCTCTCCATCCTTCCCAGTGTCTGGAAAATTCCTCCTCCAAAATAGAGCAACAGTTCTTTTGTTATCCAAAGCTGCTTTTTGTTCCCTCCTTTTTACCTTCCTCATTTTCTTATTTTCCTGTTTTCCCTGAATGACAGTGGAAGCCTGGATGAGACAGAGTGAGGAGCAGCACAGGGAGTCTACTCAGAGAGAGAGAGAGACACAGAGAGAGAGAGAGGCAGAGAAAGTTTATAAGGCACAGTTTAGCAGGAAATGTAAGAAAGAAGCCGGGGAATCTGTGGTGACCAGCTGCAAGAGAGGAGATAGCAGAGAGAGGCTTTTAATTCTCAATCCCCACAGAGCCTTTGAAAATTACCAATCTTCTTATCACAGACGCAGGGCTGCTTATGCAAATTGTTGTGGAGTGGAACGTTTAAACGGAAAATTACTCGACAGCAGTTTTTTTGCTCCCCCCCTCCGCTCTCTCTCTCCCTCTCTCTCTCTCTCTCTCGCCTTCTCCCTCCCTCCCTCTCTCTCCCTGCCTCTCTCTCTCTCTCTTTCCACATAGAAAGCCTGTTTCCAGTCTCAGATAAGAAGATGAATTGCTCTCCGTGCTTTGAAGCGCGTCAGGATTTAAAGACTCCAGCCCAGCTCTGGTCTAGCACTGCCGCTCTCACTGGCTTTGTAGCGAAAAAACGAGGGGGGGGAAGAAAAGCATTTCAAAACATCATAGATTCAGTGCTCCCTCTCTGCTCCCAAACACGGCTCGCTGCCTGCGGAGTCAAGTAGAGAAATATATATTTAAATACATCTCTGCTCCGCTCCTCAAATGTATTTACTCAATTTTTTTCTTATTCATATGTTTGTAGTCGGATGTTGAATCTCCTCAGTTCGGGCTTAATTTAAAAACATGACAAAGTATAGCAAAGGCGGGGGGGTGGAGGGGGTGGCGGGGGGAGTAACTGCATTTAATGGCCAAATAACACTTGTGGCATTCTCTTAAAAATGGAATATCCATCACTGTTCCTCCTTATCGGAGGAGGACGGCACATACGGGAAAGCAGAAGGAGTTATACGGACAATATTGCGTCTATAAAGGCCTGCTTCTCCTCTGGCTATTAGACTCTTGCCTGAGAAATTAGGATTTTTTTGAAGTCAGCTTCACTCGTACTTGTGCTCAAACGCAAGAGATGGCATTAATACAGCATTTGTAATGAAGGATTGTGGGATTGCAACAACTGCGACTAACTTTTTTAGTGAGAATTATGACAGAAGTTACGTTTGGACATTTTGTACTGTAGATGACGAGCTACAGTTGCTCTGTGTAGTTTATGAAAGCTAGAATGGGCACCTTCATTCCTTTGGCTGAAAAGAAATGACTGCTCAGCATCTTCTACACTGCCGCCAGAAATTTGGAGGCGCCTTTTCAAAATCTTTTTAATGCATGTTTTCTATGTTGATTTTGCAATAATTTAACCCCATAAATACCCGGGAGCTGGTGGCAGGTCCAGACTTCCATTCTTCACTCTTACCTAAAGTTATTCTTAATGCCAGTTTGCATTGTTTTCCATGAAGTTATTGAATAAAAGCATTGGGATATATAAAGTGTAAATCTAAACGCCCCTCTTTGTCTGTCCATCCACAGAGGCAGCTGAGAAAGAGGAAATGCTATCTGCTGATTGCTGGGATGCTTATTTTGACTCTCCTGATCCTCATCATCGCTTTATCAGCCAGAAAATGAGAGAAAGCCTTTAGGTAAGCCATTCACCTGCACGTGTGCTTCATCAGTGCACGAAAACAACTCATTTACCTTAGGAGACATGTTTCACTCTTTCTCTTCTCAATTTAATTTTGTTTCCTGGTCTTTAAAGGGTAATTGGGTAACTCTTTATAATAACAGGCCGCTATAAATAGCAGTCTAATTATTATATAATAGTTTGATAATGAATGTTAATAATTATGTAATTGTTACTCATGCATTAAGAAATGCTACCATTTGAATGACTAACCTTTACTTAGTACATCCAAATAATTAAAGCACTGTAAATGCTTTCTATAATTGTATCATATTTAAGTTTAATAAATAATACAATATATTTTTATAAGTATAGTACTATACAAAAGGCATGTAAACACTTTGTTTAAGACCATTGATCTCAGCAGTGAGTATGCTCTTACTTGTGCAAAACACTATATAACTTTAGAATAGATGCAAAAAAGCATAAATATAGTAAAGATTTTGAACTAAGAATGAAATTTGATTCCAGATTTCCCTTTAGTGCTCTCAGGATTCGTTCAAATCTATCAGCAGCACACTGGATTTATATTTAATAAAGTATTCATAAGATTAATACTATAATTAATACTGGGCTACAAAAAGAAATGGTTTGGAAATAGTTAAATGATCACATTGACAGATATAAAATCACTACTTATTGTATTGATATTATTTGTATTTATTGAAATATAAGCACTTTCCTGAGGAAATAAATGCTCAAGTTAAAGATTTTTGTTTTAAAAAGAACAGGTTATATCAGATAACTAAATAATGGTTAACAAACTATGATTAATGATTAGGTTTGCACAGTTCAAAATAATTATTGATCATTTGTATGTCACTAAGTAAATGCTTAATAATTCACCATGTATTGCATATGTAACTATTACATAATTATCAGCAGTATTTACCATATTATTACATTATAAGTGTTACTGTTAATCAGGGCTTGTTATTATAAAGTGTCACCAACAACTGCAAGAGTACAAAACAAACAGCACTTAAGTCCAAATGTTTGTCATCTCCTTTGTGAAGAAAAGGTCATTTTCTGGGTGTTGATTGTGTATGCTACTGACCACTACTCTGACCGGCTTTCATTGGAGTGGGTGGGGTAGGGGTGTGCAGTGGTTAAGGGCTCAACAGTTGGCTGCAGTGTAGCACAGTATAGAGAGAGAATAGATGTTTGGCTTTTTAAGTTCAGATCATGAGCAGGTGCCAGCCAAGCATGTCATTACACAACAGCAACTAGAGATGTTCACAAGCCATTTAACGTGAGTCCAAGAGTTTCTGAGTCTGAGTCAGGTCTTGAGTCTTTAGTTGTGAACTTTAGTTAAGTCTCAAAATGATTTTTTTGCAATTAGCTATATATACACACTTTATGGACAAAAGTATTGGGACACCTACACATTACACCTACAGGAGCTTTGGAGCTTTTATGACATCCCATTCTAAATGCATAGGCATTGATATGGAGCTCTTCTGGGAAGCTTTCTACAAGATTTTAGAGTGTCTATGGGAATTTTTGCCCATTCATCCAGAAGAGCATTTGTGAGGTCAGACACTGATGTTGGACAAGAGGGCCTGGCTCGTAATTTCTGTTCTAGTTCATCCCAAAAGTGTTTGATGGGGTTGAGATCAGGGCTCTGTGCCGGCCAGTCATGTTCTTCCACACCAAATTCATCCAACCATGCCTTTATGGACCTTGCTTTGTGCACTGGGGCAGTCATGCTGGAACAGAAAAGGGCCTTCCCTAAACTGTTCCCACAAAGTTAGAAGATACAATTGTCCAAAATGTCTTGGTTTGCTGAAGCATTAAGATTTCCCTTCACTGGAATTAAGGGGTCTAGGCCAACCCCTGAAAAACACCATAGCATCATCCCTTCTCCACCAGTTAGGCAGGTAACATTCTCCTTTACATATCTATATCGATATATATATATATATATATATATATATATATATATATATATTGTAAATTCATGTTTTGCATATAAATTCATGGTTTGCTGGTTCCTTTAAATGCCACATTTATTGCATGCAGCACTTTGGTTCTGTCCACCAGGCATGGTTTTTCTAACCAAACGTTATAGTAAAAGTCACTGACTTGAGTCCCCATCTCTGACGGAGCCCTGTAATTTGAATTGTAATTAGCTTTTGCTTACCCCGATTACTACTGCTAAGATAATGCTAATATCTGCTAGAACCCTATGGGATTTTCATGCTGCTGGGTTAGCACTAAGCTAATGGTGGTGTATATTCACATTGAATTGCAGCTCTCTGGCTTAAATGCAATGTATTCTATATACAGTACATGCACAAATGTGTGTGTATATATATATATATATATATATATATATATATATATATATATATATATATATACTGTACATGAACAAACAATGAAATGCAGTTTTGTTTGCTATATCTTCTTTCAAGTTTTTTGACCTTATCACTTCCATGTAGGCAGAAAAGCTAAAAGGTTCTGTGTTTGCGTGGATCATTTACATTATCTTGAGTTTATATTTCTAGCCCTTTAGAACAGACTTTTTAATTGAGTGCCTGAAATCACTCCCACCAGTCCACCCAGAGAGCCAGAGCATTATCTTTACTTTTATTATATCAAAGATTTCTATTTCCAACATTAGCCGCTAATTATTCTAAATTAAAATAAGGCCTGTATGAAATCCCACAGAAAGGAGTGGCAATTATTTTACATACTGAAATTAAACTCCTGACATTTATGTAACCTCAGATAGTATATCAACATAGCATTAGTCACTGTGAAGCTTTTTTCAGACATAGTGGCTCCGGCTAATATTTCGCCCACGTGTAACATTTCTATTAGAAGAGCTTGGCAGTTTTATCAGTTACATGGATTACCTCTTCATTCATCTGAGAAAGGGCCCACCCTAAAGTTAAACTGCCTCCGTTCACTTCAGCACAGCCGTTCATTCCTCTATGAGCTGCTTCAGTTTATTCTCTGCTTGTTCATTTGCTCATTCATTTGTTCATTATCCATGGGTGGGGTGCAGGGGGCTTGCGGGTTGGAGGAGGGCTGAGCGTGTTTCCATGAGCTGCTGGAGGAGGGAGATGTTAATCTAAGTGGTTTTGATCTCCTCCCGCAGCCTCCCGCGGGACAGCAGCCTGAGTGACAGTCTGCACTCCTCCAAATATTGATCAGCACACTCCCTTCTTTTTCTCTCTCTCTCTCTCCAGATAACCTGCACAGCTTATACCCTCTGTCTCCCTCCCTCCCACTTTCACTTTTGACTTTAACATTCCCTCTCTCTGTGTCTGTCTCTCTTTCAGTCTCTCTCTTTCTCTCTTTCCTTCTCTAACTTACCTTCTCTCTCACAATCTCTGTCTTTCTCCTTCTCTCTCTCCCTCTCTCTTTACTTCTGTCACTCCCTCTCTTTCTCTCCATCTGTTTCCTCTCTCTCCTCTCTCTCCTCCCCTCTCTCTTCCTGTCCTTCTCTTTCTCTCCTTCACTGTCTTTGCCTCTCTTTCTCCTTTTCCCTCTCTCGCTTCCACTCTTTCTCTCCTTCTCTCTTCTCACCTTTTCTCCTTCACTGTCTTCACCCCTCTCTCCCCTCTCTCTCTATCTCTCTCTCTCTCTACTTCCACTACATTTTCACTTTAACATTCTCTCTGTCTGTCTCTCACTCTCTCAATCTCTCTCTCTCTGACTCACTTTCTGTCTTTCTCTCTTTGACACTCTCCTCCTCTCTCTCCCTCTTTCTCTCACCTCTCTCTTTAACTCTTTTTTCTCCTCCTCTCTTTCTTCTTTCTCTCTCTCTCTCTCTCTCTCTCTCTCTCTCTCTATCTCTCTCTCTCTCTTTCCTCACCTCCTCTCTCTCTCCTCCCTGTCTGACCTTCTATCTCTTCTTCACTTTCTCTTCCTCTCCCTCCCTTTCTGCCTCTCCTTCACTATTTCTCTGATCTCTCTCTCTCTCTCTCTCTCTCTCTCTCTCTCTCTCTCTCTCTCTCTCTCTCTCTCTCTCTCTCTCTCTTTAACCCCACTGTACACCTTCTGTTCTGTAATTTATGTGAAAGTGAAGTGAGATAACATCTTTAATTAACTAGCTCTTAACTTCTATTTGTAAAATGGCATGAAAGAGTGAGTAGAATGTGTTTGAACTTTGCCTCTGTGATCTTGTCTTTCAATGAGTATCCCATGCATTCATGAAGTATCTCAATGCATTCACTGAGAGAGATTTTGACATGTAACTGACATACATGTTGATAACAATAACCGGTGAATAGATGAATAATAACTACACTACTTTGCTGTCTTTATAGTAGGTCTGTTCGGTTCTTTCACTCAGTTTGTTTTGCCTACCAGAAAGCTAATCTCTTAGACTCTCTTAGATTTACGAATAAAGATTCCTGGACGGTTCTTGAAACAAAGCTTTAATGGATATAAAACCTTCACATTATGTGGTGGTTCTTCAAACTTTAAACAGATGCTTCACACTCACACTTTGCATTGTTCAAACTGGTTCTTTCTCTGTTTAAGGTTTCCATTAAAGGGTTCTTTAAGTAACCAAAAGTGCTTCTTTAGTGGCATCAGGCCTTTAAATGGTTAGGGGCTGATAAATTGTGCAGCAACAGATAAGCACATCAGTAACTATATGAGCCTACAAAATGCTCTTATATGTTAGATGTGTCTGATAAACAGTCCCATGTAAAAAAAAATTCTCAGAACAATGGACTGACCACTCCAGAGTCCAGACCTCAACATCACTGAATTGGGATTACTTGGATTGTGAGAAGGAAAACATGCAACCAGCTTCTAAGACTGAACTATGGAGGTGTGAAAAATATTCCTGCAAATGAAGGGAAGCTGTATTAAAGTTTAAATTTGTATTATATTATATTCTATTATATTATATTATATTATATTCAGTATCCTGTGTGATTTTCAGTTAAGTATGTTTTTTTGTTTTTGTTCCTGATGCTGAAAAATGACTAACTACTT